TTTTGTTCTTTAGATTTTTCTTATAGAGACCTATTGTCAGTGGAACAGTTGGACTTGATTGCTAATCTATCCGGATGTCTGAAATACCAAACAAAACCAAATTGCAGTGACATGTGTTTTCACACCAAATATCGAACTATAGACGGTACCTGCAATAATTTACAAAATCCGTTATGGGGATCTTCACATACGCAATTCAGGCGAATTTTGAAGCCAATATACGAAAATGGATTTAACACGCCGATCGGTAAGACCTAAGACCTATGATATTTAATAATAATTATAAAAATGCTAGAAAAAATATTTATTTCGGTCAAATAACCATTGTTTGGCGTTTTATAGGCTGGACTAAAGGTATGAAGTATTATGGTTTCGAAAAGCCCGGAGCCAGAATAGTTTCCACGTCTATTATTCGTACGAGCGAAATCACCTCTGACGAAGAAATCACGCACATGGTAATGCAATGGGGTCAATTCTTGGACCACGATTTGGACCACGCTATACCGTCGACTACCAAAGAGAGTTGGGAAGGTTTGTAGAAATCTGTAATAAACATAGTTGCTTGCAATTACAGTAATCTGTTGGTTATTGCTGATAAATGAATACTGTACCCATAAGCATCTATTTCATAACTATAGGTCTGGACTGTAAGAAAACATGTGCCTATTCTTTTCCGTGTTTTCCGATGGAAGTACCACCAAATGATAGCCGCATCAAAAATCGGAGATGTATGGATTTCATTCGAAGCAGTTCCATATGTGGTACCGATATGACATCCGTGTTCTTTGATAAATTACAGCCTAGAGAACAAATTAATCAATTGACGGCTTTTATCGATGGTTCACAAGTACGGCTACAAATAATAATTTTAATATATGTTTTGTTGGTAAAATATAACATGCATTTAAGCATTTTAATCATATCACGAATGTGTTTTAAAGATCTACGGATTTACAAATGATCGTTCATTTATACTACGAGAAGTTCAAACTGGTTTCGGTCTGATGCGAGGAGGCATATCCTCAAATTTTGGTAAAGAAATGTTACCAATAGCCGGGGCTGATGAAGTAGACTGTCGAAGAGATCTAACGGAGAGCGATACAGGATGTTATTTGGCTGGTGACATTCGAGCAAATGAACAGGTAATATCGTCTGAAAAAAGCAATAAGAATTATCAATCGTTACTAGAAATTAAATTAATTAATTTTTTAGGTGGGCTTATTGGCCATGCATACGATTTGGATTAGAGAACATAATCGTATCGCCAGAGAGTTACGCACAATTAATCCGCATTGGGAAGGAGACGTCTTATTCCACGAAGCGCGGAAAATCGTCGGTGCGGAATTGCAGCATATAACGTTCAAGCACTGGTTGCCCTATGTACTCGGACCTAAGGGCATGGAGATGTTGGGCCAATATCAAGGATACGATCCAACCGTAAACCCATCCATATCCAATGTGTTTGCCACAGCTGCCCTTAGATTTGGCCATTCAATAATAAATCCGGTTTTGAGCCGACTCGATGATAACTTCACTACTATTTCTCAGGTAATATTTTACTTTGTAGAAATAGCATTGAAATAAAACTTTAAAAAATCAATTGTCGTATACAGGGAGATTTATCCCTGGGAAAAGCGTTTTTTACACCATGGCGTTTGTCCGATGAAGGTGGCACAGACCCGTTGATGCGTGGATTTTTTGCTGTACCTGCTAAAAGAAAAATGCCCAAACAGAACTTGAATGATCAGTTGATCGATCATTTGTTCACATCGGCACACGCTGTATCATTAGATTTAGCTGCGATGAACATACAACGTGGCAGAGACCATGGCATTCCTGGTTATACTGAATGGAGAACAGTGTGTAATATGTCTAGAGCTGAAACTTTCGATGATCTCAAAAACGAAATAAGTGATAATGACGTGAGAAATAAACTTAAGGAACTTTACGGTCACCCAGGTAAAATATATTTGACTTTTACTTTCGAATAAAATTATACTTGTTCTTATTTTTCTATCAGGTAATATTGACGTTTGGGTCGGTGGAATTCTCGAAGATCAAGTACCCGGAGGTAAAGTCGGTCCGTTGTTTCAATGTTTATTGATAGAACAGTTTAAAAACTTGAGAAATGGCGACAGGTGCGTTATTTTGGTAAAATTGCTTGTGTGTATGAATTTCTTGACATTTTTTTTTTTATTGTAGATTTTGGTACGAAAACCCTTCGACTTTCAGTCCAGCAAAACTCACACAAATTAAACAAGCGTCACTAGCCAGAGTTCTCTGTGATAATGGAGATAATATCACTCTAACGTCTAGAGATGTATTTAAGTTACCGGAACTACAATCGCCCAAATTAATACCATGTAAATCGATTCCAAGTATTGACCTCAGACTTTGGTTTGAATGCAATGGAGGTATAAACATAAGATAATATTATATTTATATTACATGACTTGCGATAATTTTTATAAAAATAAATATGTCTTTTAGATTGCCCCGGAGAAAATGTGTCTAAAGAAATGGAAGAACTGAGGTCTAAAGACGCGTTGGCTAAAGTAATGAACATGACTGAGGGAAAACTAGAAGGTCTAAAGTCAGTAGTTGATGGGCTTAAATTGGACATTAAAAGATTAAAACGCGAAATTAGACATTTGACAAAAGCAAGTAACAGTGGTTGTTATGATGACACAATCAAAAGGAGGCGCAGAGAAGGACGAACTTGGGTTTCTAAAAAATGCACTAAATGTGAATGTCGAGTAAGATATATAATAATTACTATCTTTTTTGAAAGTTTTATCACTACGCAAATGTTGATATGAAACATGAATACGCATATATTACTATCATATTATACATCTGTGTGGGTGTACTTATTTGAATTATGTTGTTAAATAGAACAAAACTAATGTGAAAATGAATTTTTTTTCAGAATTCTCAAATATTATGCAAAAGTTTGTGTTGAAACGGATATTTAAAGATACTATAAAAAGACTAGTTTTTTTTTTTATATATAGTTAAATCAAATCCAACAACTTAATACACAATGTGTGATACCAAGTTTCATAGACCAAATTAATTTTATATTTTATTTTTGTGTATAATGTCTAGTTAAGTAATAATATAAAATGTTTTTGATTTATTTGTTAATTTTAAAATCAAAATTGATTAAATTTCTATGTATTATGTTTTTTTTCAACTTATGGTTTTAAAACGAAAAATTAAATTGTATCTATATATTAATAACTTAAAAAGAAAATATATACATTATATTATAATTAATTTGATGTTTTAATTTGTATTTGATTACTCTATCCTACAACATTTCTCCTAAAACTCTTCTATACGGGAAAATGAGAATCAATTGCTTAATATATTTAAATATGCGTTGAAAAAATTTGATATAAGTATAATGTGAAAAGATTACCTTTATTATAATTTAATAGTTATGAAAAAATAATTATAATATATCGTTAAAACGATTAGCAAATAATATTGTAGTAGGACATGTAGCCTCTACATGTCTACATATTTACTAATCACATTTTGTATATTTTTACCAAATACCAATTCAATATTCAATAGTATAATACTGTTGCATCAAAACATTTTCTATATTTACACTATGAAGGTATAGATATTTTCAATATAAGAGGCTTACAAAAAAATTCATAATGAATGTACTAAGAACATTTAAGTTTTATAAATATTTAGTGTTTTAAATATGTTAAAAAAAAGATGCAAAAATTCTTAAATATATTTTATTTAAACAGAAAAATTTAACATTTTGAATTTAATTTTTACAAAAATAAAAACTGTACTTAGTTAAGAAATATTATGTTGTATTAATATTTTTATCTGTATTATATGTCATTATAAAAATTTAAATAATTTTGAAAAGTAAACGATATATATTAATTTTGTCATTTAATAAATTATCAAACAAATATTATTTAATCATTTTAATTGATTATTTTTTTCTAATTTAAAGAAAATTCATAATATGAGAAAAATATTTTAAAATACAAATATAAAAAAATATGAATTTTTAGGAAGCATTAGTTACATAAATATGCAAAATAAAAGTTTTCTTTTATTATGTAATTATTTTTTTAAATAACTATATACGAAGATACGTAGTAATAATAAATAAATAAATAAGGGAAGTGTCATTGGCAACTCACGCGATGAGCAGTTCACTTGATAATTTAATAAACTTTTTTATAAATTAAACAAATACATTTATTACTTCGCTATGTTTTGAACATTTATTAAAAAATATGCAAACTTCTAAATGTCAATATTGTGTGTAATTATATTGATTAGATATTATCTATTTAAAAAAAATTTATTTTTAATATGATTTTATCAATTTGATATTATAAAATTATAAGAATAATGAAATGAGAGATTCAAAACCTAATCTAACCATTCACAATCTTTTAGTACAATAATTTTATGTGTTGATAGTACAAAAATACAATGAAAATAGGAATAAAAAGCCACCTATTAGTGGCACTTGACTGGGAAATTATTTAAATATAAAATATAAAAATAAAGAAGTGTGAAATGTTATTTTACCTTATTCAGATAGTAAGTAAAAATGTAGGTGGAATGTATTAGATAAGTTGAATATAATATGATTTTAAATGGGTTGGTAAATTGTGATTATTTTTTGCCCCTCCTCCCTGATAAAGAGTTTAGTAACGCCTATGATTGTATTCAAAACATATTTTGGTATTTCATACTAATAGAAAATCAATTATATTATTTTTCAAATGATATATAGGGGGAGAGCTCAAGTAGCACTGAAATAAATCATTCGAACGAATCGTAAGGTCAACGTGTTTAACTCATTTATTACAATGACAATCGATCGATAAAAGTATGATTGGATTAATTTGTCCAGTAATAAACAATATGTGTCACTACCACCATCACATTGGGATTGGGTGGCTTATCATTTAATATTTATAAAAATTAATTATATTTATAAAAAGTGAACCACTCAGACTGTCCACGTACCTCCTAGCTCAAGAGCTAGTTGCGATCATCGTCGCTGAATAATCCGACCGCACTTACGGTAGATTATCAGCCGCCTCACGCTCCGATACATGGACTATAGTCTCATCATCGTGGCCAATGACGACTCCAGATTTGCACCTGGAGGGGACGATGCATACTACAGAAATGATCCTGTGAAGTATGATCTTGGAGTTCTGGGTGCACATCGCCTGATACTTATACAAGGTACAGTCCGGTAACACTTGGTAGGCCCGTCAGTTTGGAACACAAGGTTATGGCGTCACGATACCGAATTTGCATAACCAGAGCGGTGGATCGCACGCGTTTTCGAGGTCAACTCTTTTCCGGGCAGTTCTTCGTGCCGGAAAAACGTTCCGTCATTCGAGAAAACGCCGAAGCACCGCGTTCCGTTGCACGTTTCAGTAAACGTACTGCTGCAGAGCCATCTACCGTTGTTCGTTTGGCACTCTACAGATGAGTTGTCGACAAGTTTGACGGGAGTTTACACCGATAGATGTCGCTGCCATTGTTAAAAAAAAATGTGCCAAGGCTATTTGGTTTAAATCGTTTTATTAAAATCGAGTTTGATTTCATCTCAGATTTTAAAAACATCGAATATTTCAAATGACTATCGATACACAATAGCCTGAAATAAGCGAAAGAATTTATAAATTTAATTATGTAAAGGAAATATCAATTTAAGTATTTAAAAAATATTATCTTTATTATAATGCACTTTAATATTTAATGAGACTTTTTATTATGAACGATGAACGTTGAGCCCCACAACGGTTACGACTTACAATGGTTCTTATAATTTATTTATATTAATTTGCGAAAGTAATACTTATCACCATGTTTTTGTACGGTGTACAACACATTCCCAAAATAGGTACCATTGTTCATTTTTTCCCATTTTTATTTATAACTTTATAACCATAATCGATATTTGAGGCGGCCGTGTTGTTTATACGAGATTTGCGATTGGCATTTGCAATAAACGTCGACTAACGGTTACTCTCTCGTTATCGAAAAGATAATATATTCGTATGTACCTTAAAAAAATACGGACCGTAATTCAGAAGAAATTTTTACTGCGGGCGCAACTAGATAGCACTCGTGGAGATGATAAAACTTTTGTTTAGTACACAAATTACACAATATATTGTTTTTAATAATTTTAATAATCATTGTCCATATGATATCAAGTATCAACATAATAGTCATAATACAATATATCAATTTTTTTGTTTCACTTATTTGTAATTGTTGTGCTGTAATGTTTAAAATAAAAGCACTATAAAAAAAAAAAAAAAAAATATATCAATACCTATATAATATGTCGTCGCATATTATAGCAGTTGGTACGGAAAATTCATAGATCATCGTATAAATAAAATATCATTATATTTTAAATACTAAATATAAATAATATAACTAGGTAATAGTAATATTGAGTTAGTATTGTTTTGTTGTCCTCGTGTCCCACACTGTCAATCACTTTTAAAAATGTGACAAGAAAGGTGTTGTGTAATGCGTTAACGCTAAAAAAAATGCATGACAGATTTTTATTTTTTTTTAAATTATCATAACTGAATTGAAATTGCCACCCGTTGAAATAGCGCCTTTTGGGTAAATGCCCTCTTGTCAGTGCCTAACTATGGTCCTGCTGTAGATATTTGTTGTCAAATTTGATAAGGCCCCCCTCCGCTTAAACAATGTATTCAAAATTGATCAGCGAGATTGATTTTCGTGATAATTATCCAGAACGAACTTTTAAATTTGCGGATCGTTTATTTGCTATTCATTTTTAAATTATAATAATTCATTATTTTAATTTCTGTGTTAGAATGACTGTCAACAAATCATAACACAATAAAATTAACAGACGAACAAACTTTGTAGGTGTTGTAGCGAATAGCACTTTTATCAACACATTATTGTCTATAAGTCTATCTACCTATAGATAGTGCCCCAAACTTGTATTTTTACATTATTATTATCATTGTTTTAAATTTAAGACTCAATGTAAACCAAAAACTTATAATTGAGTTAAACTAAAGTTTACCGTAGTCTTAAGGAATCTTAATACACCTAACCTTAAAAAAACAGTTAAAGCATTTTTTTCAAAACCGAGATAATGTATTCTTACAAGGAAAAAATCCTATATAATTTTCTATCATTATCAAAATAAGTCATTTTTACTCTTATTAATATTTGTATATCCATATGATTTTCTTGTCAAGAATGTTTTTATATGTACCTATGTTAATTAATTATTATTTTTGTACCTATATGCATAAATATCGAATATGTAATTAATTTTAATTTAAATCTGTAGTAATAAAATATTATTTATAATAATTGAGGACTTTGATAACTTCAAATTAAAATATTTTATTATACAAATGATCATCAATATCTACATTTTTCTTAATCATCTTATTTCACCGAATAAAGTCGTATAATAATATACGAGTATATGATTTTTTACACACTTAATATAAATTATTTACCACGTTTAATTGTTTCGTAATTGCCTATATTTATCGTTTTTCTTCCTTCGCTCATAATATACGTAGATAATAGTAGCTTTTCGTGGAATATTACTACTGTATAATAGAAAACCTTCTTACAATTTGTCTGATATATATATATGTGTGTGTGCGTTATTCTCGGCCAGACCTTTACCGAAAACAGTTGAACGTATTTTTTGGAATACGTCCAACTTCGCATGTTCCGCCCACTATACAGTTACTTTTGAGCTACCTACTACATGTACCTATACTATATATACATGTGGTATAATATAATATATATTATATATATATATATATATTTTATATATATATAATGTTCATTGAACGCGTACGACCGGATGTAATCTTATTTCCGCGTACTATATAAATATGCGCTTACACCAAGCTAGAAGTTAAAACGGTCGGCGTGCAGCAGCATAAGTCACGTGTATTTGAGCATAGAGCGACGCCGGTCGCCAAAAACGTGTCTGTGTTGCGTAACCTCATCCCTTGTGCTGGACACGCGAGCCAATTGGTTCACGATGAGTATATAATAGTAAGTGAATTCGCAAGTGCATTTAAGAGTCAAAGAGATATGTGTGTGTGTACGTATATATATATATATATATACATGTTGGAACACGGCCGAAAGAGTAGATCTGCAAAAAAAACTATAGAATACAAAAAGAAAAACGTTTCTAAAAGCGTTGGCTTACCGTTGCCAATACTTGTGAGAATATAAGTATTGGACGAATTATATTTAAGTCTGCCAAACGTGATTTTTTTTTTAAAGATTTACAGAAATAGTGGAAAAAAATATACCTTCATAGTATTGTATAAATTTATACGTACAATGCAGATGACATACTTGATATTTTATACTATAATATACGAGAATAATGAAAACAGACGCTGTCAGTCACTGAAATTTTGTTCACTATTTAGAGGTTTTCTCAATAGAAACTAATGGAGATTTTCCTGTTTCCATTAGAACTTCAGTTACCTGTTTATATACATGGCTATAGGTTCTCATGTTTTCTAGTTTATCCTGTGTTGACATTACGGAAAACATAGTAACTAACATTCTACGTTGTACCATCATAGTGTCATAATATTATTGTAGGCACGTTCACGGTGAAATTTATGATTTTAATATTAAAATATAGTATACTTTAAAAATTATTAAACTTAAATAAAATTATTATTCAATAGTCAATAACCAGAATTATAAATTAAAAAATATTTTATTATGTATTTTATTTGGTTCTACACAGCAATTTCATAGAATCTTGTTTATTTTTTTTATACTTATAAGATTATTATTGGTTACTCAAAGTAATAATAACATTAAAATATTTATTTTTTATAAACCATTATTAATAATAATATTTGATACTTCATCTATAAAGACCCAGTATTTATAAACAACAGTATACTTGGGTTTAATTTATATACCTTCGCTTTTAATATGATCATTTTAATGAAATTGAAATTGCTTGTTAGTTGTTACTCATTAGTCATTATAGTAGCTGACAATTGTTTTATTTGTTAGAGAATAATCTATTATTGGAATGTGATGAAAAATATCAAACAGCCGTATCCGATGTATAACTAGGAAAACTCATTTACAAACTGTTAAAATAAATTTTAAATTCATTGAAAACTTACACTTTATAAAATGCTGAAACACCACAAACTTAGTGTTCATATAAATGGCTTTTTTTTTGCATTAGTCGGAAAACGATATGGTCACATTTTATAATTAGGACTGTTGATAGTCTTTAATTTTTTTTTATCAATAATTATAATTAATTTTTTTCCAATGTAATGATTCCACATTTTTTTTTCGTATCTTATTAAAATAATTGCTATATTGGTTATTTATTCTTTGATGTTTAATTATAGGATTATAAACTGTTGTTTTAAATTAACAGTTTGCAATTTATTTGTTTATCTTTAATTACCTTTTAGATAATTTGATAGTTTAATACACAAATATTCATCAATTAAAATAACTTTTAAATATTCAGTTCTTGTTTTTTGTTTTGTTTTTTTTTTTTTTTTTTTTTTTACCAGAAAGGAGATTAGACGACTGCTGTATTTAAAATTATTTTTCTGATGCAAATATTCTGTCTGTTATAGAGTATATTACATATATATATATATTTTTTTGTAAATGTTTAATTAAAGTAGGCAATATAAAAATAAAGTATATTATGTTAATTATGTAAATATAATTTATTACCAATATTAGAATATTTGTTATTTGATAATAGTTTGAAAATAATTCAAATTTATTTGTCAATGTGTTTTAATATTGTACTGATTAAAATTTTAAAATCCAAAAACTATATTGTACACACTTTATATAATTAATTAACATTTATTGTTTTTAAAGGTTTAAAAACAAAACAAATTAACTTATTAAGTACGACCGTGTACTTGAATCTAATTGATAAACCTTCACTTTTAATATTATCACTCTAATAAAATTGAAATTACTCATTTCAAAAGCTGACAATCATTATTATATTTATTAGAGAATAATATATTTTTGATACGCCATGAAAACTATTGAACAGTGATATTCCATGTATGAAAAGGAAAACAAACTTTTAAAATAAATTTAAAAATTATTGGAAACTTACACTTATACAATTTTAAAACGT